CAAGCAGGCCTGAAAAGGGTGGTGTATATCTCTGCAACAAAGACTCCCTGGAGGTTCAGCTTCTGCAAGTTTCAAACCATAAAAAATATTCCAGATGCAGAAACGATAAGTCTGCTGCATTTATCTGCAAATGCTTGATAAGGTTCTGGCTTTCCCGAAATGGGATTCATCCGCTCTTTCTTGGAATACTTGGCTTCAAACTGAGGTCGTATTTCTTCCTAAAGAACAAGCAAATGCATTTTGAGGCACTGAAGAGGTGCTTACACAATAAGAAAAAAAATATCATTTTACACCCCACAATAAAACTGAGTCAACATCTGCCACACTGATTAGTCAACCCATGAAGTGGGCTTGGAGATCCAGGCTTAAATGTTTGAACTTGGCCACTTGAAGATAATCTAAAGGATAAAGATCAAGATTTACTATTAAAAGCAATGCAATTCAGACTAACAGTTACCTTTCTCTGTTATCTTATTAAGCTATGCTTGAAGAAAGAAACTAAGCGTAATGTTTTAAAAGGGACCACCTGTCCTGTCCTTAGTGGTTTGAAAAAACTAATCAGCTTTTCTTTTTATTACGAGGGAGTGATATGGACAAGAGGATAAAAAAGGCTTCTGAACAGAAAAATATTCAAAATCCATTTTGTAAGTTGTAATGATGATATAATTCTTAGTTTCTTTTTGCAATTTTTTTTTGGGGGGGGATTTAGGCAACTAGAAACATGGTGGATCTACTTTTTAATAAGCTCCTACCGGAGTCATTCATCTTTAACCAGTAGATTTCAAATATATTAATTACTATTAAAAACAAGGTAAACACCTTTCAAATCCAGCTAAATTCAAGGCTCCTCCAATTCTAAATCAAGCTGAGATTTCATTTCATTTAGCTGAGCCCCATCCGAATGTGAAAAGCTCCTGACTAAAAAGCAATTATGGGATTAGGAAAAGGTAATCAGCAAGAGGGTAGTTGAAGTCATTCCGGTTAATTAAGTATATGTTCTATTTGAATGTCTTGGAAGAGGATGGAAAGTGAGCGGAAACTCTGGTGAAATGGAGATTGAGTTAATCCAGGCAGAAGTGCTGACAGAAAGCAAAGAAAGCAGACAGAAGAGAGGTTATGGAGAATGAGCAGGGTTTGGCAGCAGCCTGCCTGTGTAGCATGAAGGGAAGCCCATGTCAGCCCAGCCTGGCTCCCGCTGCAGGAGGAGCCTGATGAGCAGGACTTCACTCAGTGGCAGGGCACGGGTAAGATCAGCAGGAGATGCAGTTATAAACAGGCTCTGCAGTTACATTTGAGGAGATAAACAGAGCAGACCTAGAATCTTCTGCTTCTTCAGGAAACTTTCAATGTATCAGGCTGTAAGTGTCATCAAGAGTGCTTGAGCTAGTCACATCCAAGAACTGAGGCCACTCATGAAGCCAGACCTGTGTTCCTGGGTGTCGTGGGCTGAATTGTGTCCCGCCCCCCATTCCCAAATTCATATGTTGAAGTTCTGACCCCCAGTACCTCAAGTTGCAACTGTATTTGGAGACAGGTTCTTTATAGAAAGGAGGTCATTGGGGTGGGCCCTAATCCAATATGACTGCTGTCTTTATAAGAAGAAGCTATTTGGACACAAACATACACAGAAGGAAGATAATGTCAAGATACAGGGAGAAGATGGCCATCTTGTTATAGAAAGGAGGTCATTGGGGTGGGCCCTAATCCAATATGACTGCTGTCTTTATAAGAAGCAGCTATTTGGACACAAACATACACAGAAGGAAGATAATGTCAAGATACAGGGAGAAGATGGCCATCTTCAAGCCAAGGAGAGAGGCCTTTAATAGATCCTTCCCTCATGGCCGTCAGAAGAAACCAACTCTGCTGACACGTGTATCTGGGACTTCTAGCCCCTAGAACTATAAGCACATACATTACTCTGGTTGAATTGAGCTCTTCAGTCTGTGGTACATCGTTATGGCAGCCCTAGCAAACTAACATACTAGGTTACCCCTGAAGAAGGCATGCAGTGAGTCTGGGCTTTTCTGCACAGTGAGCTGAGAGCCATGGGCTAAAAGTAAGGCATTACCTCAATGAATCCCAAACTAAGAACTGGAACCGCACATGGCTATGGACATAGACTCCAGCATGAAGAAAGTGTGCTGAGTGAAAGAACAGTTCAGCACCCCAAGCTTTTTACCAGGGGCCAGGAAGACAGAAGGCTCCAACGTACAAGGGCTATATTTACACCCAGGGTACCCACATGATGGGCCCACCACAATTGCCAACAGTGGCTTTTAGACTGGTTTGTTCAAAGTTAACTAGACAGTACGACACGTGACAGCTGAATGGGGAAATTTTAGTCACTCCTCTTTTCTTTAGGGATGAAAAAAACTCCAACAGTGAAGTAATTTTCTCAAGGTGGCACTGTTTCTTAGTGGTGACTTAGATTCCCAGAAAAGAACACTTTCCATCCCACTGGGAACTGTTCCCATGAACATATGTGACCAGAAACAGCAGAATGACATTGCCCCTGAGGAAGATCTGAACGCAGACTGGCTGCCACCAGCAGGCTCCACAGTCTGCCTAAGCAGCTTCTCCAAACCCAGAAAACCATTTTCAGGAGAATGCTTATGAATGCTCCAAAGAAGTCCTTATCAGAAAAATAAGAATTGTTGAAAATCCCAGTATCATGTATCAAAACATCATGCTCTCAATAAAACAAAACAACAAAAAAACAAAACAGAGCAAAAAACTATCCATTCGTGTTCACGGGAAAAAGGAGAAAAGGTAGCCATTCATGAGGCGCGATTTGAAGGAAACAAACAAAAATACCTTTCAAAATTATCTCTCCCACCAAATCTATTTCTAGAAGAGTCTTTGTAATATATATATAAAAAAATGTGTCTCCAGGAAGGAAAACATCCATTAATATTCATTGTCACATTTAAAATGATTATCTGATTTGCTGAAGAAATGGAACTCAGGGGAGGGGACAGACAGTGAACCAGAAGAAGGGAAGAAAGAGTCGGGGCCAGGGCCAACCGCCAAGGGAAAGCAGGGTCCGATGGGGGAATGTGGTGACCATGCCCAGTATGGGTATTCGAGACTTCGACAGGAATGGCACAAGAAGAGAGTATCAAAACCAGACAGACATTAGGAAAGAGCACTGTGTATTGGCCTGGAACAGGGTAGAGAGAAAGATGAGGCTGGGAAGTGAGCTGAGCGAGGGAAGTCTGAGGAACTGAATTTGCCCCTTCTTGTCAATTTTGTCTGGAAGCAGCTCTACAGTTAACCACATGCACCAGGGAGGCTGCTGGAGGGGTAGCTGCCACTCAGAATTTACCACTTGATGCACTGGGGTGTTCACAGAAACATTTCCTCAGTGGAGTTCTCTTGGGAGGTTTGTTTCCTTGTGCCTAGAACTGTAAAAAGAATACCCTCTTTCTGCTGAAGAAAACAGATGATATTCAAGAAAACTAAAAAAAAAAGTGTAAAAAAGAATTTTACCAATTCTACAAGTGAAATGCTACATTTACAAAGCAGTGAAATGCTCTGTGAGTGAAATGCTTCATTTAGTCACAGAATTTTATTCCACTAAGGAATCAAAATGTTGTCTTTTTTTTTTTTAATTCTGCCAGTCTCTTTTTATACTGCTTGAAATTTCCTGCAAAGACAGCTATTGAAAAAGCTTTATAAATAAGCCTGACTTCTCTCACAGAGCAGAGAGTGATGACTCAAGGGGGATTGGTTATTTCTTGGTGTTTTTTTTTTAATTCCGAGGTAAATGATACAAACCTCCTCTTCTTCCCAGTCAATCAAATCCCAGTCATAAGCAATTACCGCTCGCCGTCTTTTCCAAAACTCCAGGAAAACTGTCGCTGGAACAAGCAGAGAAAGACAAAGACATTTTCAAATAAAAGTAAAACAATGCCACTGTCACTGAATAATGAAGCCATTGCAAAGAATGACAGTTGTTTGTGTAAGCATCCTTAAATATCAGAATTCCTAGCTAAACTTCTTGTAACAAGGACCATTTCTTGAGAATTATTAAACTTGTGTCAAACATAATGAAAAATTAAAGATTTCATTTAGAATCAAATTAAGCTGGTTTGCAAGTTGAGGCAGAACCAACTTGTTCGAATGACAAAACTCCTGGGATGTAACTGGGTTACCAACATCTTTCCAAGTGATAGAGTATTTATTTTTAAAAGTCAGGGACACGTAAGGCAGAAAAGCAAAAGCGAAACTTAGAAGTTCACATGTATTTGATTGGCAGTAATTTCTCATCCCTCAAAGTTTTCTCACAGCAAATGTCTATGTAAAATATATTTTACTATTTTATTGAAGGAAGCTATTTTATTGGAAGAAGGAGTCTTGCTGCTTCTCTTTGTTGCCACAGTGAAGACAAAAATGTTTAAGTCTATTAAGAACTTTCTCCAATAAGCATGAAGTAGCTGGCTTCTCCACCTAGAGAAATCACGGCTTATCCTCATTCGGCCAAAGCAGATTTCTACTCAATTTCATCAAAAAAATATACTCAAATGAATGATTGAGCATTATGCAATGAAAAAGATAAATAAAAGAAATAAGATATACTCCTGCTGCCTTGGAAGGCACAACCTTTATAAAGGGATGAACACATACACACATAAACACACACACACACTTACTCTGAGGATGACCACAACTAAGACCTAAACTAATCAAGTGTTTAATTCTGAATGATGGAAATTTAACGTAAATATACGTATTGAAGGTTAAAAACAAAATGCCAAGTCTGAGTAGCCATTTCCCACTGATGTCCTTCCTGTGAGTCTTGCTGTCAGGGGTCCCTAGAGCCGTTCCCAGGTTTGATAATTCACTAGGAAGATTCACAGGATTCAGAATATAGTTGTACAATGGTTACGATTTATTACAGTGAAAGGCTATAAAGCAAAATCAGCGAAGGGAAAAAGTGCATGGGGAAAAGTCTGGAGAAGACCAGCACACGCTTCCAAGAGTCCTCTCGCAGGGAAGTCACAAAGGATGTACTTAATTCCTCCACAACGAGTTAGCCATGTGTTAGTTAGACATGGGAAATATTGTCAGAGAAATTCACTAGAAATTCAAAGTCCAGGGTTTTTATTGGGGGCTGATCACATAGGTACCCTCTGCCTCGCACATCTAAAAATTCCAGAGTCCCAGAAGGAAAGCATAAATCATACTGTGTGTGCATTAAGTTTATGGACAGTGAGTTACTCCTCGCAGTTAGGATGGTGGAAGCTCTACTGAAACCAACCTCGAAGTCGGCCTTTCTAAAGCAGGCCCGCTTTTCTGCATACTTGCCCTCTGCCTCACCAAGCTGTCTTGTCTTTGCACAGGGCCCCAAGGACAATTCCTTTACTAGGTTCTCTGGCCCCTCAAGCAAATGCCACTTTCTTTGGTCTCTAGAGGTTCCCTGGTCTTGAAGAGACAAAGCAGCCCAGTCCCTGAAGATGTGGCTAATTCTTCATGCCAGTCAAGATGGTACTCTGTGCGCACAGACAGGTTTGATGGGGACCATAAAAAGAATACCCTCTTTCTGCTGAAGAAAACAGATGATATTCAAGAAAACTAAAAAAAAAAGTGTAAAAAAGAATTTTACCAATTCTACAAGTGAAATGCTACATTTACAAAGCAGTGAAATGCTCTGTGAGTGAAATGCTTCATTTAGTCACAGAATTTTATTCCACTAAGGAATCAAAATGTTGTCTTTTTTTTTTTTAATTCTGCCAGTCTCTTTTTATACTGCTTGAAATTTCCTGCAAAGACAGCTATTGAAAAAGCTTTATAAATAAGCCTGACTTCTCTCACAGAGCAGAGAGTGATGACTCAAGGGGGATTGGTTATTTTTTGGTGTTTTTTTTTTTTTTAATTCCGAGGTAAATGATACAAACCTCCTCTTCTTCCCAGTCAATCAAATCCCAGTCATAAGCAATTACCGCTCGCCGTCTTTTCCAAAACTCCAGGAAAACTGTCGCTGGAACAAGCAGAGAAAGACAAAGACATTTTCAAATAAAAGTAAAACAATGCCACTGTCACTGAATAATGAAGCCATTGCAAAGAATGACAGTTGTTTGTGTAAGCATCCTTAAATATCAGAATTCCTAGCTAAACTTCTTGTAACAAGGACCATTTCTTGAGAATTATTAAACTTGTGTCAAACATAATGAAAAATTAAAGATTTCATTTAGAATCAAATTAAGCTGGTTTGCAAGTTGAGGCAGAACCAACTTGTTCGAATGACAAAACTCCTGGGATGTAACTGGGTTACCAACATCTTTCCAAGTGATAGAGTATTTATTTTTAAAAGTCAGGGACACGTAAGGCAGAAAAGCAAAAGCGAAACTTAGAAGTTCACATGTATTTGATTGGCAGTAATTTCTCATCCCTCAAAGTTTTCTCACAGCAAATGTCTATGTAAAATATATTTTACTATTTTATTGAAGGAAGCTATTTTATTGGAAGAAGGAGTCTTGCTGCTTCTCTTTGTTGCCACAGTGAAGACAAAAATGTTTAAGTCCATTAAGAACTTTCTCCAATAAGCATGAAGTAGTTGGCTTCTCCACCTAGAGAAATCACGGCTTATCCTCATTCAGCCAAAGTAGATTTCTACTCAATTTCATCAAAAAAATATACTCAAATGAATGATTGAGCATTATGCAATGAAAAAGATAAAAGAAATAAGATATACTCCTGCTGCCTTGGAAGGCAC